CTCCTCTCCTTTTCTGCTTCCTCACCCTCATCGCTCCCTGCCAGCCGCTCTCCCTCTCCGCTGCAGGCATCAGAGAAGGAGAAGGAAAGCCCGGTGGAGCTGACGGAGCGCTGCTTCAGGGAGCTGCTTGGACGAGCCGCCTATGGCAACATCAAGAATGCCGTCACGCCCGTGCTGATGTGAGACAACCAAACAGTCGTATTCATAAGAAATAGCCTCTGTTTGTGATGTGTTCCTGCATGCGGTCGTGTGGTTTGTTTGTTTTTTTGAAACATAGTGAGTAAACTTGAAGACAACGCTGCATGTCAGGCGCATCTTAATCTTTACACTAATGGGCGCGTGGGGCTGTGACAAGGTCAATGCAAGGTTATGGAGTTGTTCTTGAATTGTGACTGCATGGTTTGCAGATGGGACATTTAAATTCTATATTACTGCATTTATTTTTGCAAGACGTGATCTTATTTAAGTTTTTCTTTTTTGTTCTACCAATACATTTCTGATTTTTTTTTTTTGTATTTGAATTTATCCATCTTGGTTGTTCCTCCTGAAATTAAGTATTTTATCTGTCTTAGCCTTTTCCTGTCCCCACATTTGCCCATGTGCGGGGGCTGTGCAGGGGTGTTTTGGAAGTTGTGGCTGACCTTTTAGTTGGCAGGTACATAAGTTAATAGATTGGATATAACAGTATGAATATTTCAGGCCCTTGCAAATAGAGGTAAATGTTGACTACATTATGGGTTTTAAAAATGCCCAGTTTTAGGTACTTTGTAGTGCCTCAATGCCTTTTTCTTCATTTCTGTTCCCATGTCCTACACACATTTTCCTTGCACACTTATATTTTACATTTATATTGTTAAGCAAATCCGTTTTAAATTATCTGTCAATTTTAGTCTCAGCAGTCGTGTGCTCAGCTTAATTGCACATTTTCCACGTTCTATCAATGTCAGATTGAGAGAATGTTTTTAAGTATTTAATTACTTACTGTAAAGCAAACTGTATGTCATAGTAAGTATTTATCTGTGCACTACTAACTCCTATTTTCAGTTTTACATTCATTCTTAAACCCAGACATGATGTATGCTGTCTGGACTAAATGCGGTCTTTATGCCTTACTGCTCTCCATCATCCCTACTGCTGTGTTATTACATCCTGTGTATCCAACCTGTTTCTCTTCCTCTGTTCATAACCCCACAGGCACTTAGATAACCACTCTCTATGGGAGGGAAAGACCTTTGCAGTGCGTTGCTTCAAGATCATAATGTACTCCATTCAGGTGAGTGATACACTGCCATGATATCCTTCACAGCCTTACCCTTGCCTCTTTTCTCTGTCTCACACTCTGCTGACTTCATTACTAGGTTGAAATGGAATATGGAAAACTTTTGTATGAATTTTTGACCACCATGTTTTGTTTTTTTATCTTTGCAAGTGGTTATTGCACATTTTAGTGGTGCAAAGAAGAAATGTGCTTCAATATTCATGAAGTTCTCACTGATTTCAATTTGGGCTTCAGCCTATTTGCTCACAGCTGTGGTTCATTTTGGGCCTGAATGAAAAATGCAAAAGGAATAATGCACTTTATCACCAATATCCAGTTTTTAGTTTGCCATTTAATTAAGCGTATTACTTCAATACAACAGTTTTCTGTCACTTTCTCTCTCACTCTTTTTTTTCTTTTCTGTATTTTTCTTTTTTTCAAGACAGGTCAATAATTTCCTCGGTTTTTTGTTGTTTTTCTTTCAGTCCCAGCACTCACACTTGGTAATCCAGCAACTTCTCGGTCACCTGGATGCGAACAGCAAGAATTCAGCCACGGTGCGAGCTGGGATAGTGGAAGTCTTGCTGGAAGCAGCTGCCATTGCAGCCAGTGGTTCTGTAGGTAAGTTGCAATCCTCCAAGGTCATGTCAAGTCATAAACACATAGAGATGTGAATGTTTCTTTTTAAACTATAAACTGTGTATTTGCAGGTCCCACAGTGCTAGAGGTGTTCAACACCCTGCTGCGGCAACTTCGTCTGAGTGTAGACTACGAGCTAACCGGCTCATATGACGGCAGCACCAACATCGGCACTAAGATCATCAAAGCTCACGAGGAGAGGCAGCTGCAGGAGGCTGTAATCAGGACCATTGGTGAGTCTGAGTGCTTTGTATTTGTTAGTGAGGGAGTGTTTAGTAGATGTATGTGCAAGTAGTAATTGTTATTACTAGGTATGTGTGTGACTATATGTGTGTGGATTGCTGCAGATGCTATTTGGCAACAGAATATTAGTTGGTTATATTATTATTCAACTAGTATGTTCCCATGCTCCAGCATGGTTTGGCCTGTTTTTGCTGTTAGTAAATGATAGGATGCTTTTATAATGCGTTGTGTGTAGGTGCATTAAAGCAAAAAAACAAAAAAATCACAGCTCATTTTAGCCTGTGGTTGCATGGTTGCCAGGCAACCTTATAGCGTCATAATATATCACGCATAGTTTCTGGATATAAATGTTACTGCTGTAAAATAAAAATGATGTAATACTTTTAGAAGTTGTTACAGGAGCATAAATGCTAAGAACAGGTCATTTTAGCCCATTGGTAGGTGGTTGGTTGGTAGGTAGAAAATATCTGGTATACATAAGAACCTTCACGGGCCTGAAATATATCTGTAAGCTGACCCTAGCACTGCTGACATTAGCAAACAATCAATCAACAATCAAAATACTTTAATAATCCCTAAGAAAAGTATGTAAAGATATCCACATGATTGAAAAGAAAGCTATTAAAACAGGCGAACACTCTTAAGTACAAAGTAAAGGACAAAGAAATAAGTAAGAAAAAAATTAAAGTAAAGAGAACAAACAGGAGCAACTGAAACAGGCTGCATGCTGGTTGATGCATGCTCACTGAGTTTCAAATAATCTGATATTGTGTGCATGGATTGTTCTGGTTGGCTACACATTTCAGTGACATGTAGAGTGCTTCTCAATTATTGGAGTGACTAACAGTTTCAAATTGTGTTTAAATTACCTACATAATATTTGTGTAGGCAGTGTTTAATGTCGCCTATTTAATTCAACTCACTTTGATCTCTTCTGAGTGTTTTCCTATATCCAGGCTACTCCACTAGTCTTGTTCTTTTTCTCCTGTTTAAACAAATAGTACCGTAAATGAGTCCCTTGGAGGATTCCTAATTACTAATATAGATTTTTTTCTCTTCTTTTTTCTTTTGTTGAACATTTTATTTCATTTGGTACAAACTGTCTGGTTCTGTCCCTTTCAGGTTCATTTGCCAACACTCTACCAACTTACCAGAGATCAGAGGTCATGCTCTTCATTATGGGAAAGATCCCTGTTCCTGGAATTCACCTTACTTTGCCCTCCTCGGACTCTGGGTAAGTTGACTCAAACAGTATTCACCTGTATGTTGGTAAACTTAAGGGCACAGTCTTTATTGGCTGTTTGTAATTCCAGGCCTGAGGGTACCAGGATGATTCAGGTTATGTTACTCAAGTCCTTGGTCCAGGTAAGTTATCATTTCTCAATGATTTAATTTTTAAGAAACTTGTGGATCTTCATGAATTTATAAAGACTGACACGAAATGCGTATTCCTATCAAACCGCATGATTGTAAAATCAGTGGCCTTGTTAGGCTTTATGGGCAAGTTCTTGATCTTTGCTAATGAAAGTCTCAGAAGTGTCACTTAAACTAAGATAGTTTGCGACACTGTCGCAGCATAAGAGTCTCTCAAGTTATTGCTAACTTGGGAAATTATAACCACACTGCAGTTACCTTGATGTTCCAGTGCATGTTCAGTTTTGTAAACTATGTGTGGGATTTGATCATCCCCCTCGTAGGTAACTGCAGGTTTCCAGACTACCAACATGCTGACAGCGCTGCCCAGCTCTTTCTTGGAGCCCCTGCTGTCCTTCTCTCTAACCGAGGATCCAGAAGTCCGTCTGTTGGTGCTGCAAATCCTCCTCAGTCTCATTGACAGGCATGAAAACAGGCCCAAGTTTGCCAATATGAGGTGTGTGATTGTTTTTGCAGGAAGATTGAAGGGCTGAAGTGTTTTTATACTTCCCTTATAAACCCATACTTCAGTTACAGTTTGTGTCTCTTTGGTCTTTTTTCTGTGTAGCAGCATCTCGGACATCTCTGTGCTGAAGCTCAAAGTTGACAAGTGCTCCAGGCAGGACAATTTATTCATGAAGAAGGTAATTTTTTAAATTTATTTAGTTGACAACCTGTTCCGCCTGCTGAACAACATCCCTGTGAATTATGTAAATTCACATAAACATTAAATATTTATTTTAAAATAATTTTGACAATAAATCTTTACACCAATGTATCTGCACTAGACATTTCGAGTTCCATTTACCCTGCGCTTCATCCATTCACAGCATGGCCAGCAGCTATATCGCCACATCTACCTGGGCTGCAAGGAGGAGAGCAGTGGCCGGGAGCACTACGAGACCCTCTTTGCCCTGTTAGGTCTTCTCAGTGTAGAGCTGGCCAATGAAGAGGTGGTGGTGGACCTGATTCGCCTCGCACTTGCCTTGCAGGTATAAATGTAGAGTTTTAAGTAGCCTGTTTATTCCCCGAGCTGCATTTATCTACTACATTTGTACTACAAGATGAAAAATATCCTAATCGCGGCTTAGAAAACGTCAGTTTCACATGTATCATTTCACAAATGACACTGACCATCAGCTGTAACACTGGGACAGTGTCATAGCTGATGGTTTAAAATCAAAAACAAATAAAACGACCAAACATTACAAGATGAGAACAAATCCTTCTGAGGTAGGGTGTTTCACAGTGCGGTGTCTCTCGGTTTCCTTTCCAGGATCTGGCTCTGTCCACCGACGAGGCTCTGCCTGTTTATAACCGCTGTGCTGTTCATGCCCTTGTCGCCGCCTACCTCAACCTCATTTGCCAGCTCACCACCGTCCCAGCCTTCTGCCAGCACATTCACGAGGTGTGTGTCTGAGCCTCTTTGCGTGTCTGTGTTTTAATGCTAACTGTTTGTTTATCCCCTGACTCTCTGCCTTTCAGGTAATTGAGGTGAGACAGAAAGAGAGTCCTTACCTTTTGCCCGAGGCCGTCTTTGTTGACAGTCCAAAGTATGTACCAGCGGTGTACTGCAACCCGCAAGTGTTTAATTTGATATTCAGATACACAGTAATAATGTTAAATTCCTGCTTTTGAATGCAGTTTATTTTTCTTCCTAGATTGCATTCTTCACTGGACAAAGTAGAAGGAAGTGTTTTGTTCCTCCAGTCAAAGATCACAGAGAGCCTTGGAGGAAGTGGTTATAATACAGAGAGACTCGCCACACCTTATGTCCCTCAGTATACTGGTAAGGAGTCTAAAACTAGTCGTTCGGATGCAAAGGTCTTAATTTCTCTGTTTTTTTTGTTTTTTTTGTTGTTGTTTATATTTCCTCTTTTTGTCATGTCACTGTGCCAGCAGCAGCTGAGATTGTGAACATTTTGTTTTCAGGTTGATGATGAATTATCTTTCCATTTGTTCATCCCTTCTATTCTTGAGAAAATTGCTTTAAAATTTGGTTGTCAAAGTTTTCCGCTTGGAGTTGAAGATGGACCCAATACATTCTGGTGGTTCCCGAGGATCACTGTGACCTCACAAAAAGAGGTTTTTAGCCATAACTCATGAATTCATATAACAATTATTAGAAACATTCACAAAGATGTCTTGTAGGAAAAGTGATGAAGTCATGACATTTTTTATTCTAAAGGTCAGCCTTACTATAATATAATACTCTTCTATTATTTAAGAAAAGGGGAGATTGTTACCATATTTCATATTTGGTCAGATGGTCTGAGTTGGTGCCATCAATCCTTTGTACCCACCTTGAAGCTGTATTAACACTGTGCAGAGTATGGACAGCATGACTCGGGCGGTTTGCAGAGGCATATGAACATGGGGTGAAAAAAGTTATTGAAAAAACTCAATAAAGTTTCTGCACTCTGCTTCCAGATGAGGACCGTCTGTCCAAGAGAAAGAGCATCGGTGAGACCATCTCACTTCAGGTGGAGGTTGAGTCCCGAAATAGCCCAGAGAAGGAAGAGGTGAAAAAAAAGACTTCACAACCTTGTACCCTGTACCCTCAAATGTACCCTGTACAAAGATGTTTAACATAGATTCTTGTTCTGGTCTCCAGAGGACTCCAGCAGAGGAGATCACATTTGAAACCCTGAAAAATGCCATTGGTAAATCCACTCTCTTCATTTGCAAAGCCCTTTTTATTAGTTTACAATGATGGATTGATGTTCTAAATGTTGACGTAATTTACCAAAGCATGACAGCAGGGAACAAATACAAACTACTTTTGTATAAAGTGTCCGTGAACTTTGCCTTGATGTTTTCACTTTGAGGCACACGCTACATTATATTGCTTTTTGTCTCCCTCTAGTGGACAGTGTGGGTATGGAGGAGCAGGAGAGGGAGCGGAGGAGACAAGTGGTGGAGAAGTTCCAGAAGGCCCCCTTTGAGGAGATAGCTGCCCACTGTGGTGCCAGGGTATAGACCCCCTACCCTGTTGAAAAATAAAATAAAAACTGCTTATGTGTGGGTTTTTTTTTAGTTTTTTTTTAAAAGAAGGTCTTAAATGTATTGTTTTTGATGTCTTCTGTCCCTTATAGGCCACACAACTGCAGAGCAAACTAAATCAAATCTTTGAGATCACAATCAGGTAAGGGACAGAGCTTTGGGATGGGAGTAGTCAATAATAATATGGATGGCAGTCATTCTGACTAACAGGAGAATACCTGCATTTTTATGTTTTGGAACTAACAGCTTTATTTTCTTCCTCTTTCTGTTCAGACCCCCTCCCAGCCCATCTGGAACCATTTCATCAGGTTACGGCCAAAGCCAGAGTCGATCTGTACCCATTTACGAGATGAAGTTTCCTGATCTATGTGTTTACTAAACCACAAAGTCTTCAGCAACGTAAGCGTACAGTAGAGCCTTCAAGGACAGAGAAAAGATTTGAAAGGGCAACCGATCCTCACTGTAAAATCGTCTTGACCGTGGAATCAAACAGCCACAGTGCACGTGGGACAAACTCAGCTGTAACTAAAGAACACCTCTTAGCTGTCTGAGATTTTATTTTAGCCTCTGATTGCAACAAAAACAAGCTCACCAGTGTCTATATTGAGCAGGAAAACAAACGTATTTCACTCACTTCTACTGCATCAGTTACTCATCCCTAGAGACTGGTTAGGGACCCCTGGCAGCCAGCGGCCTATTGGGAATGATATGCAATCCCCGATCGGTTGGCGAGTGGTTGCTGGAAATTGATGGCACTTGCCTGGTGAAATTGGTTGCAAAGTTCACCTTCAAATAAAAGTTGTGCCTAATTGCTGAAGCCAACATGTCTCAAAAGGTGCAGCTTTTACTTTGAAGACAATTTCATAGCTGCTCAGTAAGTAGTTGGCGAGTGTTTGCAGTTAAGCTGGTGTCTTCTGTGCAAACTAAAGACAACCTCCTGCATCTGCCACCAACTACTTGCTGGCAGTTTTCTGGCATATTCATGTCTCCAGGTGGTCTCAAGATGGTCTCCAGGTGGTCTCCAACCAGTCTCTAGGCCTGTGTGACTGGGGACTGGGATGTCTGTAGAAACTCCACTGGTTGGATTTTCAAATTAGAAATTGTCAAGAACTGTGAGGGGAAAACTTGACCGACTGGATGTTATTTATTGTCTTGAGAATGAGTTGAGTAGTCGCATGCCTGCGACTGGAAACTTTTTGATAGCACTATTATTCTTGTGCATTTTTTTAAAAACTTGTTTGTCCCTTCCAGGGTGCCATACTACCTTTGATCACAAAATTAGATTGCTAGACTGCTTATTAATATTATTATTTTTTATTTTTTTCAATTGTTTTGATGACCAGAAAGAGTGTTTGTGGAAACTGAAACATTTTAATTTACTTGATTGTATTTGTGTGTATGTCTGATTGTTGTATAGACATAAAGGTAATTATCCTCATCTCCCATGCCACTTAGCTGCTGAGCATCCATCTTTTAGGCTTTATTGTAGCTTGGTTTTGCCTTCTTAGTGTTACCCAGAAGTGCTTTTTCGCCTCTTTCTGTTTCTTTTACCTAAATATTAATCTATTTAGTTAAAACACATTGCACCAGTCATGACCACACTAAAGGATTTACAGCAATGTTTACCAGATCAAATGCTAAAAAAACATTTATTTTTCTCCCCTTTCCATATAAATGTGTACATACAGAGGAATATATAAATCTTTAAGCTGATGTACAGCATAAGGATGTTAATGTGCGTGTGTATATATACTGTATATTCTAATTTTAGACTGCCTCTGCACTGGTTGTGTTCATAGATAAAAGAGAAATCCACTTAGTATTCAGATAGACAATGTTAAAATCTCCAATAAGTAACCAGCAGCACATGAAATCCTAACATCTGAGCAGCCCACAGGAGAAATTTGCATCATCTCAAGGCCAGTATGTCACAGCGACTAATAAAGGGTTACCGAGGCAATGCTGGAAAAAGATCATTTTCAGCTTTACTCAAACAGGTTTCATTACCATAACCCTGACCTGCATTGTTACCATTTACATTCTCAGTCCTGCTGGAATGAGTTTGCACTATGATTTTTTTACTATACCGCAGCTTTTTCAGCTGCATGTCTCAGCAAGATTCAAAAACATCCAAAAGCCCAGTGTGTGTGCACAAACACACACACAGGTATAACAACAAGTATGATGGCAATAATTTGTCAAGAGTCTGGCTAACACGGTCCAACTGTAGGTAGCAGATCATGTTTGTGCGTTTTTGAATTGTGCCTGCTGTTGTTGTGGTGCTGTGATGGTTCAGTTTTGTGACATTTTTAAGAGACCGCCCCTCACTCTCTCTCCCTCTGTGCTGCTTCTGTGAGTGAACCGCACCCGTTCCAGCCGTTTTGCAACCATCTTGTTCAGGACAGAAGACGGTGTCTAGTTCATCCCTGTCATGAGCATTTCCACTGGCTCTTCTTTTGTTTTTTCTGTTTTTAAATGTCATGTCCTGTGTATATCCGTGTCAGCACATGCCAGTGTATGTGATCGTCTGTTCACGTTTACCCCTTTTTGATCAGTGCGCGAGTGAGCGTATTTATGTGTCTGTGCTAACGCTCGTACAGGTGTGTGCGTGTCTGTGTCATCATTACCGAAGACCAAGCTCTCCAGACGTAGTTTACAGTTCTGTCCAGTGACTCTTTCCACCACGTTAATGCAGAAAAAGCTACTTAAGAGCCGTGTGCAGCTGTCTAAACCTTCCAGTTACACCTTGTAAAATTGTGTTTTCAGCATCTTGAACTTGGCAGTGAAGACCTGTAAATCTATCAGTCCGCGTGTCGTCATTGCATCGCGTAATGTAATATTAACTGACGGTAATCCAAACTTACTTTTTGTCATTACATGTCTGGTTAATAGCTCTGTTTTACAATTTAGTGCTGTAGGTCAAATCTGTTCTGTGAACTTTGCACTTTAAAAACTGGAATACCTAGTGAGAAAGGCAGCTTTTACATGGAGAAAATGCCTTATGCGTGTCATACCTGACTTTGCATGCTAGTGGATGTTACCGTGTTGTAGAATAAATTTATCTCTAACCATGAAAAGTCTGTCTTCGTTTTAATTTGCCTGCTAATGGAAACTCTCTGAGACGAAGAAGGGGATCATCGTTTGGTAAAAACCACGTCGACTCATTAAATCCGTCACCACTGTTCACCGAGTCGCAGTGTTCAAAGTAATGTTTAATTCAATTACCTCCTGTTGAGGTCATCTGAGTACGTGATCCATCTCCCAGCACATGAGTAGCACATTTTTCCTATAGTGTAGCATTTTCAAGGATCTGAACTCACAAGCTCAAATTCACGTCACACTATTATGTATTCTGAGCCTGATGTCACAGTCGGCTATGAAATTAAACGATCTGAGAATTAAGAATTAATTAAGCAGCTGAAGCTCAGAGTAGTGCTGATTTTCTGTGGTTATGCTTCAGGTCCAGTGGGTGGCAGTCTAAGTCTGGCTGCATTTTCATTAAACTTATGCACAATCATTCATGGACTCTGTAAGTCCTTAAAAAATAAGAAATTATTTATCTCATTCTATTATAATGGTTTAATGAAAATGGTATGAAGGATTTCATGCATCCATACTGGTGACAGTGGAGCTGAATGAGTCTGGTAGAGAAGGTGCTCCACTGCTGTCCAGTAAAAGATACTCAAATCATTACCTCTGAATAAAGGATACTCCACCATACCCACAAGTTTAAAAGAAACTCAAACTCACCTTGTTGTTAAAAACGTTTAAATCCTTTTTCTTGTATTTTATCAGTCTTAATATTCAGAATTTTGTCCATTCCCCTTCCCCTAAATCCTCAGATTTGTCTAAAGACACAGTACTGGGTAAAAGTATTGAGTCACCCCTCGTGTCTTCATAGTTTATTTGTTTGTTTGTTTGTTTTTAAGTGACCTTGAGCAACATTTCTCAGGCGTTCAGATCTTATTTATTTATTTATTTATTTATTTATTATGTTTTCCTTGTTAGATTGGGTTCCAGTTAGTTCAATGCATTAAAAATGCCCTATAACGCAGTTTGACAGACATAACAACTCACACTTGATGAGAGCTCACAACTTGTCAGCTCTCATCAAGGTTTTGCTTAATAAATGACCTTAGGCAGAAGATTCCATGTATTATTTGCCACAAACAGGATCTTTAATATTCTTTTTTATTTACATAAAGACATGACTTTTTAAAAACTGTCTCAATAATTTATTTCCTTACAGTCACCTTTGACCTCGCTGTGACGGTCACTGTTCAGCTTGATTCTTCATAAAGTTAAGATGAGTATGCTCTCAGAATGCTTTGGATTCGAGGCCAAGAAGTTGAAGGCAGTCAGTGGGTGCGTCAGTGAAAGACATTCAATAACATGCTAAAAGATAGCAACGAGTTTGTGTAATTTAAAATTAAGACATGTGGTTACTAACATGCAATGGCTATTTGACTCTCTGAGCTATTCGCCTCCCCTGCTGAATCTTCCATTTATCCCATTATTCTCTTCACATCTTTAAAATGTTCCTGAAGAACTTGGCCAGCTGCCCCTGAGGTTTCTCCTCCCACGGCTTCATAAAGCCGCCGTTACGTTTGGATGCAGGTGGGCTGCCCCATCTGAAGTGACTCATCTTATAGGTCCTATCTTTCCTCTCCTGCAAGCTCAAGGGGTTTTGTGATTTGGAGCTGTCCCTGGCCCTCAGCAATCCCTGATTTTCATTACTTCCTCCATCAATGTCCCCCTCCGCTTCATCTTCGCTACTGCTCAGCTGTCTGCGAGCCTGAAAGGGAAAACGGCCCTCAGAGGAGCTTCCTCCTTCCAGAGAAGAGGCAAAGACTTTAACAGGTCGGCGTTTACGGCCCGAGGGCTTCCCCCAGCGGAAGTGCTCCATTGAATAGGAGCGTCTCTCGTCACTGCGGGCCTTCAGCTTTGGCTCTCGCATCTTAAGTCCTGCTGGTTTGCCCCAGCGGAAGTGCTCCATTCTGTAGGAGCGCCGCTCGTCGCTGCGGGCTTTCAGATCTGACTCGGATATTTTGTCATGGGAAGCCAGTGTGGCTAGAATAACTCTGAGTAAGAGGTCATCATCATAATCATCACCGCCACCATCACCAGCATCAGCATCACTGTCAACTTTCAGGGCCAATGCACTGAGCTCTGGGATTTCAGTCTGGATCACAGACATGCAGAGGTGAACACAGTCCTGTGTGGAAGAAATGGCAAAGATAATGTCATACAGAGCAGGAAGACTTTCCTGACCGCTGCTGGTGAAGTCATAAGACTTGGCATGATAGGAAAAAATCCCCAAAACCAACAACAAACAAACAAACAAACAAAAATCCCCTTTATTGCTTACGGGTGTTAAAAATTACAGATGGCTTTTCTAGGTTTTAAATTTAGTGTTGCATTGATAAAATAACTGCAGCTTGTTCTGTATCCAAACACACCCACTTAAGGCTATTATCACATGGACAACTCAAGAAACAAGAAACAAGAAATTACATTTAAGGACTGTGTTGACTCATCTTTTCAGCTTTCACATCAACTTATTTGTCAAAGAATGAATTTGTTCACTATCACCACAGATCTCCTGGCTTTGCCGGGGGAAAAGGAAGTAATGTTATATGCTCTGAGTTTTAAGTTTCCATTTTCTAAGTACTTCTAAGTACTCATCACCTTGACACTAACAAAAAAAAAGATTAGTGGAAGCGATAATTTTGATTAAAATGTAAGGTTTACTTACATTTAATTTGACCAGATTCCATTAAATATGTTTTACATTGCGCTTACGGATGAGATGAAAATGTGCAACATAGGGCTCCGATAAGTTTTCTTGGCCAGTGATGACGATCTAAAAGAAGAGGCAGGGCTGTTCGACCTACCAATATCCTCGCCTTGTTGCTCAGGTCCTTGCAGATGGAGTTGTCCCAGCATACTGACTCAAACCCGGGGATGCACACAAATGCCATCACCGCCACCAACAACCAGCACTGGCACACCATCTTCAGCCCGGTGCACAGGACACCAACTCGACTGGGGTGGAGCTGCAGAAGTGAAGCCACAGTGGGGAAAGCTTTGAGTCTCAGCAGACAAAAATATTCATTAGTCATCTTGAAATGTTATTTTGTGAAGAAATACAGTAGGTGTCTCTTAATAATTGCGCTTGCGTAACACTTTCCGCCCGTCCTTATGTAACGTGACGTGTTTGAACACTACCTTCGAAATAGCCAGAGAGCCGAGCTTTTGTAGCTGGTGTGTCATGAACTTAAACACGTGAACTTAAACAACAATGTTCTCTTTTTGGTGTTTGTTTATCAGAAGCACATGCATTTTATTTTGAAGGTGTCAAACATGTGGCAGTATTTTTATTTTTATTTTTCAAAGGATGAACCTTCAGCACTGAGGACTGTGTCAAAATGATCAGCAGGACTGATGAGGTTCAAAACAGAGGAGGGACAGGGCAGGGTCTTTTGTTCCTTTGATGGGTTAATTTCATGTGAGATTTAGACTGAAAATATATGAAGATAATAGATTTGAAGATTTTTTTAAATGATGATTTAATTTACCTACACCTAAGGCCCTGTATGAAAAAGTAATTGCCCCTAATCTTACTAACTGGTGTAACACCCTTGGCAGCAAGCGAAGCATGAACTAGCAACGAGCCTTTCACGTCACTGTGGAGGAATTTTGGTCCACTCTTCTTTGCAGAATTGTTTTAAATCAGACACATTAGAGGGTTTGCCTGAACAGTCTTTTTAAAGTCATGCCAAAGCATCTTAGTCTGATTTAAGTCCAGGCGCCGACTAGGCCACCCCCAAACCCTTCCTTTAGGTTTTTTTCAGAGGTGGACTTGCTTGGACTTGTGGTTGGGTTTCAAGACATGAACTGATGGCCTGACATTCACCTTCAGGATTTTATGTTCGGGAAGCAGAATTCATGGTTCTATCAATTTTCCAGATCCCGAAGCAGCAAAAACCATCACGCTACCACCACCATGTTTGTCTGTTGATATGATTTTCTTTTTATTTAATGTTGTGTTAGTTTTACATCGCACATAACGGGACTCTAAACCTTCCAAAAAAAAAAAAAAGCATTTTCAGTCCACAAAATATTTTCCCAGAATTCTTTGGGATCACAATGCATTTTTATATTAATGTGGGTTATATTTGTCCAATATTAAAAAAATATGTGATGTTGTGAAAGTGTGACAAATATGCAAAAACAAAAAACTGAATGAAAACAAAATCAGGCAGGGGGGCAAATACTTTTTCACAGCACTGTGCTCTGTGTGCAGAGAGCAACCAGCTGGGATCCTGATGTCACTGTCTACCGCTGCAAGGCTGTGTTATTCTACTGCCAATAAATTTAAGCTTCCTTTTTTGAAAACGCAAGGAGCTATGAAGCAACTTTTGTCTTTCAGCAGCAGGACTGCAATGTTTTTTTTCAGTCTTGACTAATTGAAGACAGATGTAGCTACTTTGACATCACCCAATGGGTTGTGGAGTTCTGCTTTGAAGCTTTCAGATGAACATTTTTTCTGTCATCATCTTAGTTTTGAAATCGGACGCAATAAATAAAAGTGGATTTGACCAAACTGCATGCTAAGACATTAGGGAGCTGTTTGTCTTTCTTTCTTTCTCTCAGCCTGTTGCAGCGTACAGACTATAACTAGGTTGGGAGAATAGAGAGAACAGTATTGCTGCTTGTGTTCAGGGACAGCCAAAGGAACTGTTAATAATTCTGATAAAGGACTTCCTTTCAGACATAAATTTCTAGCAGGGATTTCACAATAGACCCTAAAATACTTTCATTTTCTGAGCTCAGAGTTGTTTTCTTGCCTGGAAACCAAGCAGGAAAAAATGAATCTAATTGTCTCAATAAAACTTAACAGAAATACACAACAATGACAACAATAAGTACTTTTTGAAGTGTGCTACTTAATTGAATATGAACAATTTGGTTATTGAAGTCATGAGGATGAATATCCTCTCATGCTTCTTATTGCGTTTTCTCTTTTCTATACTCTCCTATTTCCAATCAGTCTCGAGGACAGCTTTCTTATTATAAAAAGGTAATATCTATAATATGAAACTGAAGTGCAGTATATAAACCCCATGTTCACTGCTTTTGGTTAAATCCGACACACTGCCAGTCATCTGATGCTTCACAGATGTTGAGAAAAATCCTGTCTCACTTGTCAAACTTTTCCCTGGGCGTGTTAACCGTTTAAAGATGTAAACAATCTTTTTTCTTTTCTTTGCCGGGGTATTGGATTTTTCTGGCTTCCTCCTTCACTATTCTAAAGAGTGAGTCCTCGGTGAGCCATTGTCTTTGCGAGTCTGGCAGAGACTCGTCTTCCTACTGAATGACTCACAGCTGAGCTGTGCTCTCCACGGACAGACTCCGATAAAAGAGGCATGAGCGCTGCAATCAAAATAAATGCAAAATTGTACGTGTGAAATGATTTCTACTGTTTTGTAAGTTAGATCACCTTTTGTTTACATTAAAGGAAAGCTGAATTCATCATAACTGTGTATCCTTTGCTGCAAGCACATCATATAAAATAGTAGAAATTCCCAAATCCATGAATAACGGAGTTTAGCAAATAAGTTAATTTGAGCTCATCCAACAAGTCACGCCAAACAAGCAAGTTTAAAAAAACTAATCATATAAATATATTTGTTACCTTTTTCAGATGCTTTCTCTCCTCTTGCTTTTGTCACTCCTTTTGTCCACAGATCCTCCAGACTGGTGACTCTAAACTGTGGTCCCTCTCCTCCTCTCCTGCTTTCTCTCTGCTCTTTGAGAAATGCTCAGTAGGAGAGGGTCTGCTGTTGCTTCCTTAAGGGAGGAAAGCTCTTTTTATAGACATGTGAAGTAAAGCGTCTCAAGGCCTCGGGGTGTGATTGAGGTAAAGGGTCTCCTGCTCCTTCTCTTGATGGGGAGGAGTCGTGCATTCGTGGAGTTTTGCGTATGGTATGTTTAAAGGCTTCCCACACACTTTTTAATCAATAGCACGGCTGGCTTCATCAGCTGGGTGATGAGGCTGTGGTTAACTGGTTAACTTCCCCCCCTCTCTGTAATCCTCCTCTGATTGCGACACAGTCTTGAAACCCTATAAGTACCCTGCATTTCTTGAAAGCATGTTTACGTTATCGTATACTGATTAAAAAGAAACACAACTGCTGTTCATTAGCGGACCCATGTCCACGCTTTAAATCCCTCAAAGGTCAGCTCTAATCACTGACATCATTATCCTCTGAGCAACAGTGAAGGGTGCCAATCGATTTGACTGATTGGATCGTTTCTCTGTGGTTCTCGTTTTGACAAGGTGTGCATGTATCCCTGCGTGAAAACTTCATTATAAGGACCTGACTCAGTGTTTGGACGTCATGAGTGGACCTCAAGTGCGGATGATACACACAAATAAAGAAATAAACACACGTGGTGCTTTTAAAACGGAAATATTGTGCAGCTGAAGCTTTAGTGCCAGTGCCAAACACATTCTGCCGCTCGTTTGCTGCAGGGTTAGGTGCACAAGGACAAGTCACACAGAACAGCACGAGTGGAGAACAAGCACCCATTGTAAGAGATATAGAACACTTTATTTTCATAAACCGGCCTATCTCCAGCTATTTGTTATCATTTTATAGCTGAAAGGACACAGTGAGTGAAAAATGAGACAGAAGATGCTCATATGATTTTTAAAAAAGGTCTATTATATTGAATTACAGGTGCATGTGGGTCAGGTTGCTGTGCTCAAAGTCAGAGATATGTGCCTGAATTGACCGTATTGAGGATACCTCCTCTGACTGCCATTATACAAAGTAAGAGTAGAAAAAAAATGCGCATATTGTGACCTAATTATGTCTTTGGCTATTCTTAATATATGCATCCACAGTCTGCCCCCTTCAACTACTCATCAATAAGCAACAGTCTTTTCTGACTACCTGCAAACATGTGAACTATTACTTTATGATATAGTTAAAACAGAAAAATCAGCCCAAATGACCTTAAAATGATACGTTATTGTCTTATTTTGACTACCTAGTAAGTAAATTTTGCCACCTTTTCATTGGAGGTTCATCAGATATACCTGTTCACCTTCTCGTTGACACAAATATCTAATGAGTGATGCACATACAAAGATGTGCTGTGTTACGTGTCATGCATTCATGTCAGACACCACCAGTCTGAACTGATTCCGGGCAATCCATGTGTTCATGTTGTTTACACCGATTTGTGACCAAAACTTTCAAATGTAGCAGCAGAAGCTGAGACTCATGACACCAGAAAACATTTTTCCTATTTTCTATTGTTCAGTTTTAGTGAGCATGTGTGAGTTGTAGCCTTAATTCCCACTGTTAGCTAACAGGAGAGGAGAGGTATGGCCATTCTCCTCTTACCTCTGGCATCATTTTCACCCAAAGAACCACAGCTCGCTGGATATTTTCTCTTTTTTGGCCATTCTCTGTAAACCCTAGCAGCCTGCCCATCACCAAAAACCATGCCACATTCAAAGTCACTTAAATCCCCTTTTATGCAGATTCTTAGTTTGCTTAGTTTGAACTTCAGTAGCTCGTCTTGATCATCTCTGCATGCATAAATGCAAAGATTTGCTGCCATGTGACTGGTAGATTAGATATATGCATGAACAAACTGCTAATAACGTGGTTGGTAAACGTATATACCAACTAAACCCAAAATTGTGAGACTGCTTGTGAAGATATTTTAGCATCTGTTTTGAATTTAATCTTTTTTTTTTCACGGAGAATAGTTCATTCTCTCCCTGCCCCTCACTTTCTGAAAATCATCCAAAGAGCTTCGTGTCATGTCAGGAATTCCTGGCTTTCTCTGTTGTCACATGTTAAATAGGGCTGAAGTGACTGTGTAGAAAAGTCATTCAGAGTCAGCGCTTCTTGGTCTGCTTTGTTTTTCTCATATTGCCAGTAAAGCTTTGAAGCTTCTAATGATGCAGTTGATCCGGTGGAGTTTTCCAACTCTGGAGAAGCAAAACACCCCCAGACATGAATCTTCCCACCTCGGTGCTTCACTGTGGGTTTGATACACTGTGGTGTCATTATTTCTCCTGCTCATCTCCTTTACATACTATTTTCTGATACTCCCACTAATCTCCTAATGGATTGATCAGCAAATAGCTAAATTTTCCATCCTTTACTGTGAAATACGAGGACACACCGACGCTGAAACGGCAGCCTTCTTGTGAAAGAACCTCTGCTGATTGCAGTCTTGCTTTCTTTATTTAGAAAATTTTGTAGCTTCAGTCTCTAGGACCACAGTGTATTGATCTTCCCTTTGGGTCCGCCTGGACGTGCTTTGACGACAGCTTATCCCGTTTTCACAAAGTGTTTTAGCGAGCCATGCACTGCGACACTTGGAAAATAGAAAATTTGATCAGTAACAAATAGAAAAACAAAGAAATTATTACAGTAATCATATTAAAGCTTTGGGTGAATTGTGAATTAAGCATAAAATTAAAAATGCTGATTATTTAACCACTTATACAAGAATCAATCTTTAAAATATCTTAGCCCCCTCAGATAAACCTTTAAATACTCTAATATTGCATTAATACGCCTAAATGTAAAATCAATATCTCTACTTTATATACAGCATTTTCACACAAAATATTACCTCTGTTTTTAGGTAATGATGCTTAGTTTCTATGAATATCACCAATACACACCAAAGGCTGAAAGGCTACTAGTTACTTAGATGAATGTGTTTCCTGGCAGCCCTTTAGTTACATCACAAATCCCGGTCATCACTGTCGGCAGGAAGAGAAAAAGATAAAACCTTCCAGATCACAACTCTCCTGAACCGCCTAAGGCTCGGATAATCATCAGTGATAAGGAAGTATAACTCTTTGGTTATATTTAGGGGTATGATGTTTGTAGCTTGAAGGCGAGACAGGAAGTGGCATTCTGAAGTGGGAGCTATTCTCTCCTCTCTCCGCAGTTTTAACCTGCTTAACCTCCATGTGGCCCTGCTCTGCAGGTGGTGTTTGTTCTGGACAGCGCCTGCTTGTGAATTTGAGTCATTACTGGATGCGAATGCTAAAACAAAAAGGACATGCTTGCTAAGCCTCCTCTTCAGTGGAGAAATAAAGGTTATAACAAACAGAGATGATGCATTCCTACAGCACTTAGGAGTGTAATTCAGCTCCCCGCTGATGTTGATTGCTTCCACTATTTAATAACACTGCAACCCCAAGGCAGGTCTGTGCAGGATGTGAATCACCACCAAATAATAACTCTGTCTAAACACCTACCATTTAAGTATTATCATCTCATTAATCCGTTTTAGGTTTTAGAAGTGTTACAGATGATGGTGGAGAAGAAACATGACTTGTTCCTTCATTAAACTGTACAGCTTCACAGTGAATGAGTGTTCATAACCAGCATATATGAGTGATGTCATGCACATTATTTAAAGTGTCCACACACTAATTCAGTATATGTGTAGTATTTCAGCTATTTTTAGGAATGTACTCTAGTCAGTCTCCCACTCATGATATAGCATCAGCAGCATCTGTCTCCTCCTGTGGCCCCCTGCTTATTGCCGTTGGGTTTCTAATGGCTAGTGGGCATTAGTTACATGGATCTGATTTTTACCATTGAGTTGGTTTCTAAGCACCTGTCCTTTGCAATGTAGGATCATTTTATTGCAATGAGAATCGTTATTGCTTTAGTGGATTCCTAAATATAATTACAGTCATCGTGAGTACTATAAGGATATAGGTTTATTATTTTGACAGAAAACCTGACCCTGTTTGTAAGATACGGTACTGCATCTTAAACTACCCATCATTTCTTTGTATTTTTGCAAGGAAAATGGGAGGCTGGTGTGAAAGTTTAGGCTTCATTTTTGGATCAAGGCTTTCTGTTTAGACAAATTCTAGCCACTTCAGTAATGATGAGGTCCAGATTCTGAGGAGGCTACTCCACAATTTACTTCTTCTTCTGTCTTCCACCTGCAGAGTTTCCTCTGTTATTTTAAGGACATGCTGCACACCATGTCATGGTCCGGTTGAGTGGCTGTGTGTTTCCTCCAGGCTCTGATCTCTGCCCTTGAGTGGAGCCTCTTCAGCCTTTTCATTGCCTACACCTGCTACTAATCTCCGTGGCTGGGAGATTACAGGGACGTAATTTCCAGGGAGGTTAGGGGGGTTATGACCATCCCCAATAATCAGACCCAACCAATATAACCCCCCCAATAAAATTAGGAATTATCTTGCATAATTAGGCTGTTGATTTTCTTTACTCATTTCAGGTATTAACAGCAAAATAGTTGCCTGTTTAATAATCTGGGAATTTACCCAGATTTATTTATTTAGACAGAGATCTTGACCCCCCCAATGTTCAGCACCAAGTTGCGCCGATGGCTGTATATAAGACCAGTGCTCTTCGCCAGATTGTCTGCTAACCTTCGTTAGTCCCGGCGGCTAACTAATGTCTAATCTAGTGTCTAGTCAAGTCTTGTATTAGGGCTGTTCGACATAACGATATATATCCAGTGTTGGGAAGGTTACTTTTAAAATGTATTCCATTACAGAATACAGAATACATGCCCCAAAATGTATTCTGTAAC